ATTACTCGTCTTAGGTATTGCTTAACTTTTTGTAGGGTTTGATTTAACGGTTGTTGTTTTTGTATCGATTCAATATCGATCGATTTGTTTATATGATATTTGGAGTTATATGTGTATTTGTCTTTCAAATTTTGTCAACCGTAGATTAGTATTTTTGACGCAATCTTGTATAAATAACATAATTGATTCAAAAATAGTGGTTTGACCTTTTCAGCCCCTTTCTTTTGTAAAATGACAAATTTAGTCCTTAATATAAAAGAAAAGACATTTTTAGCCCTTAAATCATTTTCTTGACACCTTTGTATCCTAAATTTGTTGAAATGGTGGTTTTAACTCAAAATTTATTTTTTTAACTTTCTAGTCCTTTTAGAATAGTAATTTTCAGTTTAAACCTAACTTTTCACAATTTTTACAGTTTTGGCCCGAAATCCAAGAACTTTACAATTTTTATCTTTTTTGGAAATAAAAAGCATTTTTGACCCTTTAAATAGTTTTATTACCCTTTTGATCCCCTCTTTTGAAGAAATTTTCATTTCAGCCCCTTTAGTTGTCATTTTTCGCAATTTTTGGGCTTATTGGGCTAAAAGGCCCAAAATTGGCCCATTAAGCTAAAAATTTACATTTTAAGTCCTTTGAAAATTTTAATATTCAGAAAAACAGTTATGGAAACGGTTTTGACTCTTTTGGCCCTTAAGAAACCGTGAATTGGCAACTTTTAACCCAAGTTTTTGTATGTTTGACAATTTAAGCCCAAAAATGGGTTTTATGTTGAAGAATATTTAACACAATCTTATAAGTTATTATTCTTTACTTGTTTAGTATAACACTACTTAGATCATGTTTGTTTTCCTTCTTATGCCATAGATCTCGATATTTCTTCCCTTTTTGGTTACATATTCATCACCAAAAACACATAAAATCACACATACATGTATAAAATCATACATAGCATACACATACACATAGATCTACACATTTTCTTGTATTCTCCCCCATAAAACACATAAAAACCGAAAAGAGAGGGGTATGAAACTCACCTTGAGTTGTGGGTTCGGTTTTGAAGAAGATTGGGAGAAGTTTGATGTTATTTTCGGCCCTAGCAAGTCTTCTTGGGTTGATTTCGAACTTAGAGGGTTTCTAAGATGGTGATAAAGAGTTTCAATGAGTTAAGAAGAGATTTTTGATGAAATGAAGTAAGTAAATCATAGATCTAAGCATGATCTTACCTTAGATGATGAAATTGTGGGATAACCTCCTTGAAAAGCTTCCTAATCTTGAAAACTTGATGAAGAAAGGAGAGAGTTTCTTTGATATTGTTTAAGTGAGATGTGTGTGTGTGTGTTTGTGTTGTTTCGATCGAGAGAAAAAGAGAGGAGAAGAGAGTGTCAATGAAGTGATGGTTGCATGGAAATATGAGTTATATGCATGGAAATCCAAGAGGAAATAATGAGGTGGCATAGCAAAAGTCAACTTCCATTTCTTTTTTCTTTTTTTTATATATAGATATAGATGGGCCGAGAGAAGGGAAGAAAGAAAAGAAATGTTGGGCCTTTTGTGCTTAAATCCAAATCATGGGCCCATGTTGATGATTTTCGGCCCATTGGGCTCTTAGGGTGCCTTACGACCCAACTTGTCAAAGAGAATAAATTTTATGGCCCATTTAGGTTAATTGGATTTGTTATGGCCCAATAGAGCCCATTAGGGTATTTTATTTCATTCTAGGCCCAATATGGCCCAAAATGTTAAAATAAATGAAGGTGGGTTCAATTTAGAGCCCATATAAGAGTTCTAAGCCCAAAGATATCAAATTGAAAACTTATTGATCCATTAGGCCTAATAGGGAAATCCTAGTCCAAAATGGACTTAAACCGGGATTTATAAGGTTTCTAATTCTTTGTTGATTATTTGCAGTGCTTGTATGAAGTGTTTGATGGAAGTTTTGATGTTATTGAATAAGCATCATACATGCTTTCACATTGTTGGTGCACATTTGTTATCATTGTTCAATGTTTACAAGACACCAAATTCCTAGTTGTGACACTCATCATCATTAAGCATTTAAGTTATCAAATTAAGACACGCCCCTACATCATCATTCGACCATGCATCATCACCCCCTATACATGTACACCCTAATCATCATTAAGAACTTGACTTACCAATTTAAGATATTCCCCTACATCACCACCCTTCCTTTACACCATCATGTACATGTTGATGGAAGTAGTTGCATCAGTCACCATATGGGTTCACATCGAGAGCCAAGATGCTATTTTGTAGACTTAGAACCAAAGGTGACATTGGTAACGGAGGAAGAAATCTTCAGAGATTCATGTTGTTGTGTTGAGATGTGATTTTACTCTAATCTGAGGTTCACGTTGCCGGGTATAAGGTTTAAGTGCAAATTCGACTTTTATATCCTAGATAGAAAGGTTTGACGGAGCCTAACTGAGATAAGGTCTTGATTGTTAACCGACCCCACCATGAGGACCAATGGTGTTAAAATGGCAATAGAAAGACCAAAAGTGTTAAAATGAACAAACACAAGGACCAAGACGGTGATTTACTCTAATTATAATATCAAAAGTAAGAGGGCTATCCTGACTAATAGAAATTTTATAAGGGTGAAATGTTATTGTGAGCCAAAAATGAAATCCTTACACCTTATCCATGGATGTTTGCTCGCTCGCTCACTCACATGACAAGATCATCACTTCTAAAGAAACAAAACAATGTCGTTGTTAGCACCGCCGCCGCCGCCGTCTCACTCGTTCTCATCTTCCCTATCACTCTCCACCGACAGTTACCGCGATCTCCACCACCATCACCGCATTCACTATCCCATAACTTCTCCCCGGTTCCTATTCCGATGTGCAATGAGATCAGCTTCCTCAGTTGCGGCACCGAAGAAGAAGAAACTGTGGAAGCAAGGGGAGTACCCCGGCGATGTGGCGGGGACTTCGAGTTTTGACAGGAACAAGAGAAGATCGCCGTCTAAGACCATTAAGAAGCAGCCGGATCGGAAGAATGACCTTAATACGGGGGTAATTACCGTTACAGAAGCCTTATCCGATTCTATCAACAACAAGCAGTGGTTAAGAGCCCTAGAGGTAATCATACACTCAACCTGTAGTCCTAATTAATGTATCGATTTAACCAATTAGTGTGTTTAGGTTGTTAATTTCTACCAATTTTGATTTGTTGCGTTATTTTTAGTTAGGGTTTTTTTACATAGTTTTGGTTGAAAGAAAGCTTTTTCACATAGTTTTTGATTGATTGGTTTACTTTCTTCATTTGATTAGTTTAGAGAGGGATCATTTCTTCACCAGTTAAATTAATCTGTAGTGATGATAGACATGTTCACTATTGAAATGAAATGAATAATGGGTTAAATGCAAGAAATAACAATATACCTTTGTTAATTCGTTTATTATTAAATCGTTAATAAGAAAAAAAAAAAAAAAAAAGTATGTTGCTATTTCTTGCATAATAAACAAATAAATCAAAAGGCGTTGCTATTTCTTGCATTTGACCCTTAATAATTGCATTGATATTTCATATGGAATCAAATCTTCTCGTTTGGTTCCTTATCGTGTAATTTGTTTTGCGATTGCCATCAGTTTCAATCCAATGCACATCAAACACAGTACAAGGTGTACACAGTACAAGGTGTATAACCTAATTTCACTTCAATAAAACTTTTATTTTAGGTATTCGAGATGCTAAAAGAACAACCATTTTATCAACCAAAACACGGAACTTACATGAAGCTCATTGTCCTCCTCGGAAAATCCGGTCAACCCCAACACGCTCAAAATCTCTTCAACACAATGATCCAAGAAGGCCTAGACCCCACTCCCGAACTCTACACTGCATTACTCGCCTCTTATAGCCGAAGCAATCTCATTGACTCGGCATTCAAAATCCTTGACCAAATGAAAAACCTCCCGTTTTGCCAACCCGACATTTACACATATAGCATTCTAATCAAAGCGTGTGTCGACGCCTCCCGATTCGACCTCGTCGAATCCCTCTACGACCAAATGACCGAAATGTCCCTAACCCCAAACACCCTCACGCAAAACACAGTCCTCGCGGGCTACATAAAAGCGGGAAAATTCGACCAAATGGAAAAAATCCTTAACGGGATGCTCGAAAGCGCGACATCAAAACCCGATGTTTGGACAATGAACACGATTCTAGGGCTATTCGCGAACACGGGTGAAATCGAAACGATGGAGAAATGGTACGAAAAGTTTCGAAATTACGGAATCGACCCCGAGACGCGAACGTTTAACATTTTAGTAAATGGGTACGCGAAGAAAAAAATGTACGATAAAATGTCGACTGTTTTATCGTACATGCGGAAACTTTCGTTTCCGTGGACCACATCGACTTATAACAATGTAATCGAGGCTTTTTCGGATGTTGGTGATGTGAAAAATATGGAGTTTACTTTTGATCAAATGAGGAGTGAGGGGATTCGTGGGGACACGAAGACGTTTTGTTGTTTGATTAGAGGGTATGCTAATGGAGGGGTTTTTCATAAGGTGGTTAATATGGTTGAGTTAGCTGGGAAATTGGAGATAGCTGAAAATACGTCGTTTTATAATGCGGTGATTTATGCGTGTGCGAAAGCGGATGATTTGATGGAAATGGAGAGGGTTTTTAGGAGGATGAAGAGTAAGGAATGTAGGGGTGATGTGACAACGTTTGATATCATGGTTGAAGCTTATAGGAAGGTAGGGATGAATGATAAGGTGTATGATTTGGAACAGGAAAGAGATATGATGTTGGATTTGAATCCCAAATAATTAATTGTTTGAAATGTTGGTTTTTAGTTTATTGTAAATTAGTTTTTTATATTAAAGTCGTTTAAATTTGTTTTTCTTTTTGGTATATGTGTTAATGTTATTTCACATGGTATGTGACGTTGGTTGATGCAAGGTAGCAAGTACATGGCATCTTAGTGTCATATTATCACCCCATTTCTACAAGTTGCTACGTTTTCATGTAACTATTAATTATTTAATACAAAATTACAAATAGTCTTATATTAAAATATTATGCAATATGAAAAAGATATGAATATAGTTTGATAGGCTTGTGTACATCTCTTTAGGTGACAAAAAATTCAATTTCCGTATATAGATCCCACTTCAATGCACACCAAATTTCTACTTAAAAGTGAAATCCAACAAATTAGGGTTTTTATATCCAATGGTTATATAGCACCTCATGATTGATGTTTAGATCCCACTTCACGCTCTCAAACAGTAGATTGATTCATCACTGTGAAACAAAACAAAAAATGCAACAATCAAAAACTCATGATTTGACACATCGATTTACACTGATTTTCTGGATTTAATACACACATCAAGTTAAGCTAAGAATATCAACAATGGTCGTCATATACTGTTACATATTACTTTTGTAATTTGTAAATAGTAATAAACTTTAAAAAAAACTCTAATTGAAGATGCTCTAAGAAATAACTTGAAACAAGTCCTTGAGGAAATGAGGTTTTTCATCAATTCCTAACTTTTTACAAATTTGCCCTCATCATTTTTTCCTTCCAATTCACCACGTATGCCTGCCACCATTTCTCAAATATATTTTGGACATTATTTATCTATAGACCAGTTTATCCAGACAACATATAATAGTAAAAAACAGAAACAGAACCTAGGTATGGTTGATGCATCTATATGTATGTATGTATGTATGTATGGTGTCACAAATAAATGTTTCACCTTTTTCTATGAATATAATTCTTAATGTTTGGACTTTGTGTAACCCAGAGCATTTAGCTTCTGAACTAGCTTCTTTTCAGCTGCAGCCTAAAACCACAACAGGAGAAATCATTTAGGATTACAGAGAAGAAAAAGATGATAAAGACATGATTACAAAAAAAAAAAAAAAAAAAAAAAAAATTGTGTATGCAAGAGAGAGAGAGAGAGAGAGAGAGAGAGAACCTCAAGCATGGGACTATCTTTTGGAATGTTGCAAGCCAATGTTAAAGGAACTCCAGTCTTAATAACTATGAGAAAATGACACATATCAGATGGAGCGGAGACAATTTGTAAGGTTATTATTTACGACGAGGATGAGGGCATTCACGTCTTTTTCACAGACAAGATATCAAGAGCAAGTCTCTCTCCCACCTTTTCAGTTGGGACAAAAAGTTTGAACTTTTGTCCCATTGGTCAAACACATTAGAACCCATTATGTCTTGTCCTGTGTAACAAAGAGTGTTAAGAGGGTTACCTATTCTACGAGCAATGCCAGATCCTGTATTGTCAGAGTTACCACCAAGAAGGGAGCTTACACTGACTGTGTTGTTCTGTATATGAACATGAACAGTGGAATTATCAACACCAGAATGGAAATGTAGATCAAATTGCTAGTTGCAGAAAATAACATACTCATAAGTGAAAACTTACTGGTCTTGTAGGTGCAGCAGCATATAAATGACCAAATTTGGCAGAGTCACAACCAATCCATGCATATATCTACAGTAGTAAATATAGTACATGAGCTGAAGACTGATGAGCAAGCCATATGTAGCAATAATATCAAAAAAGTTACTAGAGACGACACAGTAATTTCCCAGATAATTCGAAGAATGTTCAGAAATTTCATTTCCGATTAAAACTAATTGAAAATTGCAGAACCGTTGCACAGTTATACATTAATATACGAATCCTCTTGTGATTTCTCCCCATAACTGCATATCATTCAGAAAAAAGTATGTCTAGTTTGAACTCTACGTAATCAACTGTAAATGTCAAGGAGATAGCTAGCGAATCTATAAATCCATATAACTTGAATAGTCTTAAAGGATAAACTCCATGGTCAAAGGTAAGTAAAGAAGAACCGGAGGACAAGCCTTGCATCTCGTAATCAGGTAAAAGTTCCGGATTTTGTGTATGATATAAATGCATAAATATGAAGAAATTGAACAGGATACCTGTTTGGGAAGACGAATGATTTGAAAATGAAGGTTAGCGTCATTGAAGACGTCAGAGAAGCAAGTGATCTGCACGTCGTTAACATTTGAAATTGAGATCCCCAAATTTTGAAATCCATTTGCAATATCATCATTTGTCGTCGATGCTGGTGAAACAGTAGACATTGCTCTATACGAATTCGTTGATGTTGAAATGTGAGCTTTGGAAACCTGAGATTATTTGAATTGCTAGGGTTTTGGTTTCTCAAGCTTGACTGGTAAGTCATCTTTGAGCGTTTTTTTATTTTTATTTTTTTTGGTATTTGGGTTTGATTTTTTTTTAGAACCATTTACGTTTTTATATTTTAAAATTAACTTTAACTAAGTATTTATATGCATCATGATTATACTTTTGTAATTTACATTTTCTTTCCCTTTAATTTAGATAGATCTTCCAATATAGTTCATATAGTTTCCAAAAAGATCAATTTTGGTTCTTGACTAGGGTAGAAAACTTTTAATGGATAGTCTTTATGGCTAAAATTGTCTACTTTTAAGTTTGAGTATGTGCAACACATGTGAGGGTAAAATTATTTTTTAGGAACGAGAGGGATCATTTATGATTTTTCTACATTTTTTTATTATTTTATATTTTTCTTATAAGTTTTTCATTTATTTTTTATTAATAAATTTAAGAGAACGCACATATCCACTTTTAAAAACATTTTAACACACATTCTCAAGAAATATTCATAAACACACACACAAATACACATTCATCATCTTCATGAAGATACATACTCAATAACACACATCACTATTTACCGTCATCTATCATCAGCTCATCTCTCACGTCTTCTATTAATAAACTCAAATTGATAAAATACAAATCCAAATCATCAACACATCCAAATCAAATAAGGATTAAATTCAAAGCCTTCTTCTTGAAACCCTTTTGAGTTCATGCTTGAGATTAAAAAACCAACTCAAAACCTTTCTGAATATTAAATCACTTTCTAAGAATCGAAAACCATATAACTGAGATCTCAAGACCTTCCTGAAAAATCAAAACCCTTTCCAAAAAATCCAAAAATCGACCAAAACAATGAAGCTAAATTTGATGAAATTAAATCCAGAAACCTGAGTTTTTAAGATTGTTCTTGAGTTTCCAGATCTTGATAAACACCTAATGAAGAGAGATGCCAGAAGATGAGAAAGGGGTAATACATGTTCGATTTTGAAAAGCCCTTCCAAATCATCTAATCATCCATATAAAAGTAACAAGAACAATGCTTTCGTCCTAAAAATCACTGAAGTATAGATTTTGGCACCACTACTACCCACCATTTCTCCCCTTTCTTCTCCAGAAAACCCACAAATAGTAAGTATTTATCTGTTATGCGATATATGATTGATATAATGATTGAGTATTGTAATTACTCACTAAGCTTTAAGCTTATCTGTTGTTTAATAATAATTACAGACCCACGATGATCAAATGGAAGAACGTGGCCTCACTGCAACATTGTTCGCATTTTGTTTAATATGCTAAAAGTTTTGTTTAAAAGAGTTCCGCTACTACATTAAATTAATGTGTTATGTAATCTCGAATGAATCATTTTATAAATGATGTTTTCTTATTAGTTTTAAAAAGGGATCGAATTTCAGGTTACCGCGCTTAGTTGGCATTGTGGCGTGGAGACAACTATCCAAGTATTTATCCCCTATTATTTAAAACACCCATTTGGAATATATTTTCCTTCGTTGTTACCAAGGTTCTAAACGGAGCGAAGCATGGCGTGACGGTAATGTCAAATCTCAAGTCATAGCGAACTATAGCGTTTTTCAAACCGTGATACGTTTTTATACATTAAAAAGGATAAATCACATAATTATAGAATTACATCAAATATAATAAGTTTTTACTTTTTAGAAGTGTTATATCAACACTTAACATGAAAAAGTTGATAACTCAATTCTTTCATGCCTGGTCTAAAAAAAACTCCCACCTTGGAAAAAATTTGCGCCAGAATGCGTTAAGGCGCGCCTAGCCACATTATTTGGGTATCACGTCTAACAAAGACGTTTTGCATGTTTTCGTAACGACTTTTTCACGCATTGGTGCTGCCATGACGCATTATTTAGAACACTGGGTGTTACCATCTTTGAGCTATGAAAAACCCTAAGGAGCATTCTCGTGAACATAATGTCTTTGCCTTCATCATCTTGTCATTACTATGACTTCCAACAACATTAGGAATCAACGATTGTGAGTATGTTGCCATGGAACGAATGTTTTAGAAGTTTGGATACCTTGGTTGTCGTTTTCTAAATTGTCCTAACTTGGTGGTGAGATTCTGATTTTTGTTTCGTTGCCTATTAAACCATAATTTGGAAACCTGAATTCCCGTTTTTGTAAAAACCCTAATTTTTGGTTTGAAAACCATAATATATGCAAAACCATAATTTCTAGTTTGGGGATCCCGATTATGTAACTCACATTTTGGGCCTAGAACTGTAGAAGGTTTATGTATTAATGTGGATTTTTTTTTAAATGTAGAAAATAAATAATTTAAGAAATAATCAAATAAATAAAGTAAATTTTGTTAACTAAATAATACTGATAGATTTGATATTATGAAAAAATTAAAAGTTAGAAGAAATAATGTTAGATGGGCCATAGTTGTCAATTTATGAAAGATAAGGTTTGACAGTTAGTTGACTTGTAAAAGATAGGATTTGACTATTAGTTGACTTGCTGAATAACATAACTAACTTGCTGAATAACATAATCGATTAAGAATATAAAACATATTATTTACATTGTTTAGACGTAAAGCATAAATGGTTTTAATGTTGTTTTTACAACATATCATATTAACAAGGTTTTATACAATGATAATAGCTTTAAAAATTGTCTTTGGACAATTATAATTATCATAGTTTCTACTAAGGGTGAACATGAGCCAAATTCGTTCGGTTTTGGGGTAAAACCGAACTGAACCTGTGTATTTTGGCTTCTGGGTTTTAGAATCCATCAGTTTCGGTTTTTGGTCAGTTTCAGTTTTTGGGTTCTTAAGTCGGTTTCATCAATTTGTGGGTTCAACCCATGGATTGATGGGTTTTGGGTTTAAACCCGTGGATTCTAGGTTTTAACTTATTTTTCAACAAATCTTTATAACTTAAAAAAATAATAGAAATTTAGCAACCTAGATTAAAGAAACTAAAAGAAAAAAAAAAAAAAAAACAATTTCATCAACACAACATCTAAAGTACGTTGTTACAAGTTTACAACAACCTAATTTAGCAAATTTTAGAAACAAAACAATTAGCAAACAACATGACAATAATCTCGGTTTCACTAAAACAACAATACAAGCCATAGATTTGGTGTAATTTAGTACCAAAATCCACCTCCTTTTGCATTTGACATACATTACCTTTGACATATAATGTCAAATTATAGCATATCACTGAAAAACATGTAATAATCTCGGGTTGGATCGATTCGAGGTACTAAAACAGATCCCAAAACCCATTTTTCGGTTTTATGGGGTTTTGGGTCTTAAGGTTTGGTTTCACCCCTATTTTCTACCATCTATATATTATACCAAATTCTTAAGAACAAATAATTATAAATAAATCTTACAAAAACAAAGTAGGGATGAAAACAGCAACAGCCAATAGAATATTTCCAAGTAGTTTTTACATATCAAAATTCTCCTACATACCATCTTAAATTTTGAATAAAAAAGCAAGCAAAAGCAAAAATTAAATGATTCAGCCAATTCAGTTGTCACTCATGTAACGCCTTCATCAAATATAATCTGCTGAAACTCTGCCCTGCAACACTGCATAGTGTGTGTGCAAATTCCCACAATATGAAATTTTAAAACAAATGAAATAATATGAAACTTTATTTTTTAAATATATTTTTTTAAAATACCTGTTAATTTGATTGCAGTAATTGGAAACCTGATTTGTTATCAAAAAGCTATCCAATCTTGACGGCTCGGGAAGCGGTTTAAAAATAGGGTTTGACGGGTCCTCCTCTGGCAACGGTTCCTCTCCCGCAGCTTTTCTTGCCATATTTTCAGACCTTCAAAAAAACATTTACATTTTTCAAAATATTCAATAAATAAATAAATAAATAAATAAAAATACCTTCTCTTTTGAAGCCATGTTTGCTGTTGGGCTTGTTGACGTGACAAATTCCGATAGTAAAATTGGACCTGAGAAATAAAAAAACACAAAATTTTCCACCTGTCACTTTGCTATTATTACATAAATAAACAAATGAAAAAAAAAAAAAAAAACCTTTTGTTGTTCCATTGAGAGATCATCCATGCATTCGATCAAAAACTCCATGTTCCTTTCCATAAAAGGATTTGTTGACAATTGTAATCTATCATAATCAGACTACCATATAATATAAAATTAGTCTAGTCTTTGACTTTCTTTATAAGTTATATTATAACTAGATTATAAATATAAAATATAAAATATAAAAAAAACAAAATACCTGAGTAACAGGTGAATCCGGTTCCAGTTCAGTCATGAATGCACTCACAAGGGCTGAATTTGAAACCTTGATCTGTTAAATGTAAAAGTAAAACATATTATAAGAAACAACATTTAATTTAATATTAATTATTAAAGTAAAGTAGATAATAAATGGTTTGTAAAATGAACATACGGGTATCTCCTCAAAGATATCCACCCATGTGAGATTCTTCTCCCTCAACCTAAACAGCAAAAGAAAGGAACAAAGTGAGTCTACTCACTATTGTAAACTTGCAAAATAGGAATCAAATATAATAAAAATGAACTTACTTTTCTCCATTGAAATCATTGTTGCGATAAAGCTCCATGAAAGAATCAGAAAGTTTCAACGCCTTCAAAGCCAGGACACCTTGGTTTGACTTAGAAGGATCATAAATAATGCACACACATCTTCTAATATTCTCCTGAAATTATAAAACACATGTCTTTGAGTATTTGAATTCTTTATGCAACCAAATAAAAACAACAAAGTGTAACTCTGTGTGTGTGTGTGTGTATACCTGGTAATTCATGAAGGTCTCAATCAGTTCCACAGTCTGGAAAGAGCCTAATAAAGTTGATTGGTACCTTTAAAGATACACATCTTACATTTTTAACAAGTTTATTGAAGAGAAAATTCAAAGAAACACTTTACAAGAAAAGAAAAAAAGAAGTTACCAGCCTACAGTGTTATTGTCAACATTGACTTCCCTGAGGCATCTCATCATCTCAAGTTGGTAGTTAGCACCATCTGCTTCAATCTCCTCATCCTCCTCCCTCATCTATTAATTTAATTTAATGTAATTCTACTATGTGTTAGTTAAATAATGGTGAAGAAATTAGCAACTGTTGTGT